CAAAATCATCTCTAAAAACCCTTTTAGCAGCGTGTGGTATGGAAGGCATCCAGGATTGTGGTTTTCCAAGGTAACAGCTGAAGGAAAGTAAAAAGAAAAATAAAAAGTAAGACTGAGTTTTTGTTAAGTAATTAAAGAATTCCGGGTTGCTGGAAAGCCTCAGGGCTGTGCTTGTGTGGCTGATCAGAGGCTTTGTTTGCACAAGGCTGGTAAACAATTTGCAGTTCTTGGCAATAACCTGAATTATGTCCTACCATTACAAAAAAAAAAAAAAAAAAAGGAAAGGAAGAAGAAGTTGAAAATGCTGGATTTATATCATCATTTCAGGAGAGGAATGAGGGAGGGACTTCTGATGGGCTGGCATTCAATGAGGTCTGTGCAGAGATGGCCTCACTTCTCTAGCTCCATCCATGGGGTGATTTTAGATAAATAAATAAAGTTCAGCAAGAGCAGAGAGCCCAGGATTGCTCAGCACAGGAGCTCCTTCCCTCAGACTGGGTTTAGCCACTGATTTAGGCACTGCACAAAGCATTAATCTGCTCCCAGTGTACCCTCAGTGCTCACAGCCAGGAGATTTGCACATGAAATCTCTGCTCCTGGAGCCTCCACACCCACATCTTTAATTAAGCGCTGCCCCACATTTCTGCTGTATAGGATAAGTGAATATATGCAACTGCAATGCACAGGAGAGAATTTTGTAGTGATTTTGCATTAAATGAGGAGGAAGTTTGCTCTGTGGGTTCTCCTGACCGACAGCTACACTCGGTTGGAAAAATACATAAATAAAAGCAGGATGCAATTTCCCATCTGGGGTGAGCTGCCAAGACACCTCCACTGGCACGTGGGGAGAGCAGGAGGCCACAGCCCTGCTCCCATCTGCTGCTGCCAGGGCCAGGGTCAGCCCACCTGTGGTCAGCTTTGGGCTAGGGCTCACTCAGGGGAAGGGGAAATGGGAAAATTGGAATAAAAGCAAGAAGCACATGTAAAATATCCCCTCTGAGGGTGAGGTTTGCAGGGGAGGATAGGGGAGCACATCCCCCTGAGCTGGGGATGCCTGTTGGTGTTCTGTGCTGCCCCATGTCCCTGTACCCCATCAAGCTGTCACCACAGGGTGCCCACCAGTGCCTGGCCTGTCTGCCACGAGGTTCCTGCCTCAGGGATGGGATGGCAGGCAGGAGGACACTCACTGCATCTCTTCCAGTCCTGAAAAAACATTGAGAAACCTCCTTGGACCCCTCCTAGGAGGAGATGCTATTAGAAGAGTCTAATTTTTAAACACTGTTGACTCTGCCCAGCCTTGGGTCAAGTGGGGTTTGATAGTGTGGTAAAGGGCACGTTCTCTGTGGCCTTTGTGAAGCCACAGGAGATATTGCTTTTATTAACCACAGCCACTGAGACTGGGAAAAAAGCTTCTAGAACAGGCACCCTTCCTGGTCGTGCTGCGGGAAAGATCATCTGAATTAACATGAGCTCCTTGGCTATTAAACGGAAATTTTAAATGGGAAGAAAATTCTGCAGTGACTGCTAAATTGTGTGTCAGCAGAAAGGGGAAAAAGCAACGTGTGTCATTCCTATTATCATCTTGAAATCCATCTTCCCTCTACACGCCATGACGGTGGATAATCCCCGGTACGACGCCTGCATCGCTAATATTTGCAGAGGCAGAACTCCTGCTTTGGAAGAGTTTTGCTCAGCATATCTTATCCCCCACCTTGAAGACATGGTCTGAGACGATGGGAAGCGCTGAACACGCTGTTCCTGGGGGTTGGGTTTTGCCACTGGTGACAGCAAAGTGGCCTCTGAAGTCCAAGGAATCAAGAGAATATTGGAATGCCAAATGCTGGTGTGTCCCTCGTGCTGTGCCTGGCTGTGGTTAGCCCTGCTGGCAAGGACAAGGTTCCTTTCAAACCAGGAAAATATGCCAAGTCTGAGGGCAAAATGGCCAGTGTGTGTACCCAGGGCTGCAGGAACACATCTTCAAAAGGAAGGAGAGAATCTGTGCTGCTTCTTTATTGCCTGTGGAAAAGCAAGGAGATCAGACAGGAATGCCAGGGCATGATAAATTTTGCAACACCTGCACTTTTTTAACCCCTTGTTTGCATGGGATGCGATCAGGTGTTTTGCTGTGGTGGGTTTAGATGTGAAATGAAGGTGATGAAGGGGTCTCTGCTGCTGAGATGGGGCTGCATCTCCTGCAGCTTCTCCCTGGGATGGGGGCTTGGGGCTGTTGGTGACACAGCCCAGCTCCAGCTTCCCGCCCTGTGGGCTTTGTCATGGTCATTACCCAAGTGGCACGGGGTGGGTAGGCTCAAGCTGGTGGGAAATGAGGGCAGGACACCCCAAATGAGTGATAGTGCACAGTTTGTCAGCCTTGGGTATCAGCCATGGCCTGTCACAAGTCTGCTCTCTGGAAAATATCCCGGTGGGTTGAGGGAAGTGGTGGCTGTGGTCTGGGTCACTGCTTTGTCTTTCCAAGCCAGGCTTTGGTGTTTTCATGGTGAAAGTGGGCCGTGTGTGCCAGGTACCACTCAATGGGTTTTGGATACTGCACTGCTGTCCCCAGAGCAAGTCATGGGCTGTGGGAGAGGAACTGGGGTGGGTTTGTTTGCAATTGAGGAGCCAAGACATGGGAATGAAGTGAGTGTGGAGAACCAGACATTGTGTGTGCACATCTTTGCATATGGCATGGAAAAAATCCGGACCAAGTCCCTCCTTAAGAAAAAGACCTCAGCTCTTTTTAAATAATAGTAATAAATAAATAATAAATAATAATTATTATTATTAATAATAATAAATAATTTAAAAATAAATCTGCCCCTCCAGGTCCCCATTCCACTTTGCCTGACAGGGACAGGAGTGTGGGGATGCCCAGGAGGAGAAAAGCAGAGTGAATGTCATCCAGAGTGAAAAAACCCAAGCTAATGATGTAGGCATTTGTGCAGAGGTTAAAAATGAAGCAATAAAACCTTTGCACAAACTTCCAAATGCTTCAGCAGCCACACGCCACAGCTCAAAGTGGGGAATAAATAAGGGAAGGTGCAGGCAGGCAGAGGGAGGCTGATAGAGCCATCACTCCTCAGTGGCAGCCTGAGAAATACGTCCCCATGGTGTCCCCATAACCACTGAGGGGAAGGAGTGGGGACTTGGAGGCTTGGGGTGTCCTAATTTAATGCCTCCTGATGGGTTTGGGTCATCCTGTGGGGAGCAGAAGGGATGACACAGGAGCCAAATTTGCTGGGTCTCTTGGGCTCCCAGCCTGGCCAGCAGGACAGCCTGCAGGGTGGGTTTTTGTTCTCCAGCAAGGGCAAATTAAAACCTGTGTGTGGGATGGAGAACCTGCTGGCCACCCTTCCAGAAATCTGTGGGAGGGACATGGGGGATCTTTCAGCCCTGCCTTTGGTTTGGCTGTGTCTGGAATGAGGCTGCTGTGGCCAAGAGCTAAAGCCCAGTTAAAGCCCAGCACTTCAGTGGTCCACAGCAGCTCTGTGCCATGGGCTCCCCCACAAAAGTGTTATCCACAGGGCAGGGAGAGCAGGGAGCAGCTCCTGGGGGGACAGGGACAATGCCACTTCCTATCTCCCGAGGCTCCCATGCTGTTTACACTGACAACAGGCTTTTCTTAGCCTGTCTCTGATTAGTGCTGCTAAAGACACAGCTAATTCATCATGAATTTTCAAAGGTAGACGCTGCTGGGAATGCCCTTGGACCTCCTAAGTGGGTGCAGCCTCCCACCCTGCTGGGATTTCTGATGGTGAACCAACAGCCACAGTCATTGTGCTACAGCAGCACAAGGCTGTCCAGGGAAGGTGGAAAAAAGGGATTTTATCCAAATGAGCTTCAGTTCAGAGCCAGGGAGGGTCTCTCTGGTCCCTGGGGAAAGCTCCTCCTGGCAATGCAGCCAGGAGCCCTGGGTCATCCTGCCCTCAGTGTAATGGGGCTTCTGATTATGAGCCACATCCAGCACTGCTTGGAACCTTTGCTTTATAAATGAATGTGGAAAAGGAATGTGTGTTGCAGCTTCCCAGGAAGCTACTCTGCAGTCTCTGCAGATGAACTCACTGTCTCCTTAGCTTAAGGCCTGGGTAAAGAACTAATTATTTGGACCTAAGCTTAAATCTGTATCCACAAAGATGGATTTGTGACTCTTGCCAACTTCCCCTAGAGGACTGCAACCTCATTTTGTTCCTCGTGAACTTCTGCTGAGGTGTAAAATAACAACAATCTCGAGAGCTAAAATCGCTGAAGGATGGATTAAATTATAATGCAATCAGTCCAAAAGACCTTCTGTGTGCAAGGAGCAGCATTAGGCTGTCCCAGAGCAGGCAGCCTGTCAGGATTACCCAGCCCGCTTCGGCCGCTTTGTCTCCACCAGGAAACTGCATTTCCTGGGCATTTTCTGTTATCATCTGCTGAATGCTCCTCGGGAGCCTTGGCATCACCCTGCCCAGGGCAGGACTCACCCTGAGAAGAGCTCCATAAACCCACGACAAAAAAGGACAGATGGCAATGAATATTTTGAGGTCTGCAGCATATTCCTGGGGAAGGATTGCTTCCGACCTGCCATCTCTGTGCAGACTTTAAATCACAACTTGAGCAGCAAGCCCGGTCTGGGGTCTGTTAATATGTGTTTGGAGAGGATTTAGCATAGCAGGGCTCCAATCCCCACTGAGATTTTCGAGAATAAGCTCCTATAAATAACTAGGATGGAGCCCATGGGATGATTTTCAGACGTTTGAAATACCCTGGGCCATGGCCTGGCAGCCCCAGCACAGCTCGAGGAGCAGCTGGGGAAGCAGGAGCTGCCTGGCTGGGACCGACCCTGCTGGGTCCTGCCCTGCTCCCCATCCTACTGAGGGATGACAGGCTCCTCCAGATGCACCATGCTTTGCTGGCAGGAGGAACAGGGCTCATTTTGGGACTCCAGGCACCCGGTGGGATGCTGGACAGTGACCTCATAGCAAACAAGGCACCCCAAAAGAGCCAGTGCAATAGATGTGGAGTTCCCCATGGTTCCTTGTAGCTGGCTACAAGGCCCCTTGGAGGCTCTGTCCCTCTTCAGGGCAGGTATAAGATCTCTTTTCCTGCCTGCACAAAGGTAACAAGAGATGCAGGGGCTTAATTATCTTTCTGTCTTTGATTTCATTTCTCTTTGTCAGTGAGTTCAACTCTTTCTGTGGGGCAGGGGTGGGGGGATGCAGGCAGAACACAGCTGCTTTTGCTTAAGAAACCCTGCTAAAAAGACAAGTCCTTTCTGGAGATAAGCCAGTATTGCCCTCTGCTCCATGCTCAGCTGCTGGGAGCCTCTGTGCTGCTGGGCCCAGTAGGATGCTTTGAGAAAAGGGTCCCTGAGGACCCTGCCCTGATACCCCCCTGCTGAAGGCAGGCTCAGCCTTGACTTCACCCATTGCCTGTTCACCTAAGCTGTTCTTAGGCAATGAAATGTGGAGTTTCTCTTTAAAGAAGCCCTTTTCTGCTTGGGCTGAAGTCTATGGGCTGGCTGCAATCTCTGCCTAGAAGGAGGGAGCCCGAATGGCAGGGACAGAGCTCCCATTTGCAGAGGGGTAGCACAGCCAGGGGACTCCCAATGGCTGAACACCATTTCCAGTTTGGCTGAAGCCTCACTTGTTGTTTCTTTGATAAGTCTGGATGAAAATATTTTGATTCTTTTTTGTTCATTTGTTTCTTTTTTAGGGCTATTTTGTGTTACTCTTTTTTTTCCTCTTTTTCTGAAGAGGTTTTTGTGCTGAAATAGATTTCTTTGTAAAATGTCAAGTTAAGCAGGTCCACCCCCTGCACATACAGTGTCACCAGGGTCCTTCTGCAGCTGCAGAAGTTTAATAACAAATGGGAGAGACAAGCATGAACAGAAGCAGAACAAATGGAAAAGTAAGATGCTCTGTGAAAAATTTAGAGGAGCATTTTAAGCAAGGAAAAAGTTGTTCCTTTTCTATTTATTATACACCGTGGAAGCGAGGCACTGCCTGGGTACCTGCAGCAAAGCCCTGCTCTCCATTTGCTTTTTTCCTTGCATTAAGGATGGGAAGATGATAAAATGCTTTTCATCAGAGGCACTTAAATAGCAGCATTCTCCTGTACAAACACGCTTTCCTGCCCTGATGTACTCAAGAGTGTGTCTTAGCCAGGGCTTGGGGGCTGTGTACAGCCCCTGGCTGTGGTGGCATCCCGCACTGGGGCAGCAGGTAATGAGAATTTCTTGTCGGACTTGTCCCAGGTCCCCTGAGCCAGCACGGCTGTGGCACTGCAGCAATGTTTGGTTGTTCTGGGATGGATATTTGCTCTTGGCTTCATGCCTTTTACAAGAGCACAAATGTAATGTCAAAAGAAACCACTTTGGTAATGTACTTAGAAGTTAAATATTTTATACAGTACTATAGTGATGTGATGTATCTCCTTCCTGGCATTGCTTTTTGCCTGAGGTCTGGAATTTGGGGTCATCTCTGGGGCTGGATTCCTGCATCCTCTCCCTTGTGCCCCCTGTGCCTTTTTCACAGGGTGCTGAATTCCTTTCTGTCCCTACAAAATGCTAAAAAGCAGCTCAATCCCAGTTCGTGGTAAATTGTGAATTCTGATTATCCGATGGATATTGTTTGAGCTCTCAGGATCGATAGCACTATATTAAAGTGAGGTACTCACTCCTCAAGGCACAAGGTGAGGGAAGATTTGTGATGATAAATGTATGTCAGTCTGTGAGCTGTGAGCAGAGAGGAGGCTCAGGCCAGGGAGTCCTGACACAAACGTGTGTATCTGTGTCTGACCTGCACTCCATCCCAATCAATACGGTTTTCACAGGCCAGGATTACACCAGGGCTGCACTTTATACTCTGAGGTAACTCAAACTACTTCATAAAGTAATGAGTTTGGCTATAGATAGCACAGGTTAATGGCATGGTTGTTATGGACTTGGTTACAAAGCTTCCATGTGGCCTCAGATATTATAAATCTGCTTTATGAAGATTGGGAGTATTGACAGAGACCCGATTCTGCCTTATTCCTTCTGCAGCCTGACAGGGATTTTTGACAATCCGCTTTTAGCAGCTTCCAGCACAGGGAGAGAGAGACTTTATCTCTCTGAGGAAAACTTCTGGGTGAACACCAACTTGTTTTTTTTTTTTTTCACCAACATTTTTGAGTGCTTGGAGTGTAAAACAGAGCCAGGATAAGCACAAGCCAGAGGGGCTGAGTGCTGCTGGTGTGGTGGCTGCAAGAAGTGCTGGGGGCATTTTCCATTAGTTAAGGGAGCTACTTAGCTGGGCACGGGCTTCCCACAAGTGCCTGTACATCCCTGTCCCATCCTGGTCTTTTGAAGAATTTTGGATGCTGCTGACAGCAATAAATGCAGAGAAAGAGGCTCAAGCTTGGTGTCAGCCAGCAGCAGCACCTGCAAGTGCTGGGCAGAAGGGATGTGCCCACCAAGGCACTGTGAAGGTGCTCAGCTGCACACAGGACTCCACCATGTCACTGGTACAGCTGAGCACGTTTTTCTTTACAAGTGGGATGAATTTGACAGAAAAGAGGACTTTGGGCTTTTTTACCTTTTTTTAATATATTTTTTGAGCCTAGTAAATAGCTTGGCCAGTGATTAATAAAACATTTCACCTTCTCAATACTCCTGCCCTCACCCAGTGGCTGTTTTGACAGTAGTGCAGCATGGCATACAGAGCTAGGCTTGATTCTTTTTATGGTAGTGCTTCTTGTGTCTGTTAACTCAGTTTTTGGCTAAAGAAAACCTGCTCTGTATCTAAAAAGAAACTGGGGAGAGGGATGGGCAGGAAAAGGTCTTGGTAATGCAAAGGTTTTAGTCTGGAGAACAAAGAAAAGTTCAGTTATTTCATTTATTGAAAAAAAAAATCATAATCCCTGTGTGCTTTGGTTTGATCTAAACCAAATTCTATTTCAAATTCTGGTATCTGACTTGGGAGAAAAACCCCAACCCAAGAGCCTATAATAATAACTGTAATAGTAATTGTTATTTTTAATTTTGATACAAAAGTCCCTGGATTTAGGGGAGGGCAGCTGTTTCCATCAGCTTAGGAAAACTATTCACATGGTCAAAGTTAAGCATGCAGCTAAATCATTTGAGGAACAAGACTTTCTGCAGGCAGATAAGAGCATAATAACACGATGATGAGAGCCCAGCCTTCCACTGATAGCAGAAACTAATATTTGTGATGCAACAGTCTTGCATTATTCAGTAGTTAAAGATAATTCTAAGAAACAGAACAGCTTGAGAATTAGCAAAACTAGCCATAAAATATTCTTAGCTGACTCTGGGGGGAAGTAAATTGCCATGTACAGGATTTGCATTCATCTTAATGTTTATTAAAAATGAGACAGCGCTGCTTTCCGCACGCGCGGCCAGAACAGCTCCACAGACCAGTGGAGTGTGACCTCCTGGCCTCCCTAACTCATGCCATGTGTGGGCTGTGTTGGGCTGGGAGTGATGGAGCCCCAGCTGCCCACCTGGACAAGTGCCCAGGGGTCCTGAGCAGTGCTGCCAGCGCTGATTGCTCATTGTGTGCCCGGCACCAGGGTGTTTGTCCCCTCTCCCAGGGGTGAAACCGCCAGGGAAGAGCAGCTGAAGAAAAGCAGGAATGTTGGCCCTGAAGATGTGCTTCTGTACACAGCAAGGCTGACATGAAGAGTTTGCACACCCACCTACAGCAGCTCCAGTCGTGACTTTGCCCCTGCACTTGTAGAGAAAGTGGAGAAATACAACTGGGAGAAGCAAACTCAGGTTTCCTCTGCAGGCCATCAGCTGGCCTGGGGTGCTCAGTCATTTCTTAAGGCCTTTTTGGACCATTCCTGTTCCCTGGCAGTGGGCAGGTGGAGGGGCTGGATGCCCTGATGCAGCAGTCAGGGGTGGCTGAAGTGTTAGCAGCAAGTAAAGACCCCTGAAACTGCTGGAATTGTGCTAAAGCACAAAGATCTGGTGAAATTGCCACACAACTGATTTGCACCAACAGCTCAGTGCAGAAGAAATGGATCATTTTGGGATGTGGGAGGAACCTGCACCACCTCATCCATAATCCAAATAACAACAGGGGCCAGAGGAGAGCCACGCTCCTGCCTTTAAAGAGTGCAAATTTCTGCAGGAGCACCGAGATCTCCAAAAACCCCACTGATGTCTGTGCACCCGGACCCACACCTGCAACCAGACCAGCCCTTGCTGGCTCACTGTAAGAGCAACAAACAGTGACATGTGGGGAAGGAAAATGGCACAAAAAACCAACCAAACAAATAATAATAATAATAAAAAAAGCAAGTGAGACTATTCAAAAGGGGGACTTTATTTTTATTACACTGGAGCCAGGCGTCAGTGCGCCAGTTCAGCTTTGATACACAATAAATCAGCAAACCTGTCACTCAGTTTGGAAACCAAGATTGCAGTGGCACTAAAAACACATTGAAAACATTTACTTTCTTCCCTTTTTTTTTTTTTTTTCCTCTTTTGTTTTTGGTACAAAAATGGTACAAACAACAATACAAAATATTTGTGCTGTTGACGGTTACAAAAAAAGGTTTTTGAACTGGGTTTTAACGGACGCAAACTTTTGCTTTTGCGCTTCAGCGTGAATACAGCAGAACAGCAGAAGTCTTCCTTGAGAACAACCACAGTCATGCGGGCTGCTACACAGCTTCTCCATCAGAAAGGAAACATGCAAAATCATCATTAAAATAATAATAATAATAATTAAAAAAAGTGCTCCAATTATACATCTATATGCTGTTGTTTTTTCCCCTATTAGATTTGTAGCTTCAAGCACTAACTACATTATGTACACTGTGTGTGAACAGTTGTGTGTGGGGTTGGTGTGGACTGGAAAGAACTTTTATTTTCCCCATGAAACCGAGTAAATTTGCGTGGGAGACACCTACGTTGTTTGGCTGCTGTTTTAAAACTTGCATTCATCGTGACACAGCATTTCCCCCCCTCTCCCAGTATTTTTTTTCACACTTACAAAGAAGATCTCCGAAAGACATGACAAATAAAAGTTCTGTATTTTACCTTTAATATTTTTTTTTGTTTTTTTTTTAGATTAAACAAAGTTGCAATCTTGGCATATTGTGTGGTACAGACGCTGCACTGACCATCGACGCTCTTCAATGCCCGAGCGTTCACCCTACGTGAAGCAGTTCCAGGCAATACAGCCACCTCTGAAACCCCACTTCTGAAGGCTGGGTTTGGACCTGACCATCCCTAAAAACCCACGGGGAGCAAACTCCCCTTCACCATCCTACAACTGCCAATGGCATCGCCTGGTCCAACAGAAAAGGGGAAAAAATGGAAAACACAAAACCAGAAGTGAAACCATGACTAGAACGTGGGACACCTAGAACAGACTTGCCTATTTACTGTCATTAATTACCTGCTGAATCTCCTCCTTGCCTTGCAAAGCATTTCTGTGACTGACGCTGCTCCCAGTTTTAGGCTACATGATAAGCAGACCAGCAGGGCTGTGGGTCATGTTCTGCTGGGGGTGGCTGTGGGTACAGCAGTGACACTGGATCTGCACGGTCCCTGCCCTGGGGATGTGCAATCCTCATCCTTAGGCGGTAGGGAGGCCACCAGATGTGTCTGGCCCCAATGCCCTGGGTACTCACTGTCCCCATCCTTAGCAGGGAGAGGTGTGGCGGTGTCCCCTGGCAGTGCTATGGGCTAACAGGGTGGGACAGTGGCGTTTTAGGGACGGGATCCCCTCCACCTGCCTGAAAAGAAGTCCTTCCCCACTGCCTTGCAGGGTACAAAGTGTGGGGATCACTTCTTCAAATAGTTTAATGTTTTAGTTTAGATTAGTCAGGGAACAGGGGCTCTGGTCTCAATGCATTAACCCCTCCTGTGGCCTCCCACAATAAGCAGCATCTGCAGGCTCAGCCAAAGGGTTCCTTGCCTCACTGCAGCTCCTTGTAAATCACCATCACCTCCAGCTACAACTGGCTGTCACCACGTCACATCCATGAGGATCAGAGTGGGACAGAGTGATGGCAAAGTCACCCTGTCAATGGGACTCCATGGATTTAATGTAAATTTTCTTAGCTGGGTTACAAACCATCAGTAACATTAGCAAGAAAAAAAGGTTTGTAGAAAGTGATCTGTTTTCATTGCTGGATGTGCCCTCGCTTACCTTCCACCGGTCCCGCTGTGAGAAAAGGGGCCTGATGCTGCTGCTGCTTGTGGGGCTGTAAAACTCAGAGAGGGAGGAGAAAGGGGAAGAGGAAAAGAAAGAAGAGGAGGGAAAGGTCCTGCAGAGGAAGACTGAGCAGAACTGGGTCAAAACACAATAATCTGGTAGGTTTGATTTATAGGCTCGTGGGATTGGAACGGCTGGATTGCAAATGCTGCAGAAAAGATATCTGCTGATTTAAAAAAAAAAATTGCCAGTGGAAACAGGTTGGTTTATTTTTAATCACTCCAAGAGTTTTGTTTGACTTAGGTTGCATAAATGTTCTTGAAAACCTGCAATGTTTAGACAAGCTGAAGTCAGACAACATCCCCTTCATGGCTAAGTGTCTCCTTTCACCGCTGGGGAGAGTGCGCGCTGCCGGTGGCCTGGAGCCGCCGTCCCACATCCCTGCCAGCCCAATCCCTACCTGAAATCCCTCATCCCAGCCAAAGCCGCAGCAGATGTTTAGCACTGAGCGCTCTGGAGCAGGGATTGAGCTCTCTCCCAGGGAAGCAGTGCCAGGTGGATGGCAAGGCAGAGCTCACAGCAGAGACCTGGCATTGCAGGATCCACGGGAGCATTCCAGGAGCCGCACAGAGCCGGCAGGCAGTGGCACCAACCCAACAGATGGAGAACCATCGCCCGGCCCTCGAGCTGAATCCTTCTCCTGTGTCGGTGATGAGGCTACAGCGACGGACACCAGCAGCGAGAAACACCAAGTGCGTCTTTATTATTCACTACACCTGTGCCCGGGCAGCTTCTGCAGAGGTGCAAAGCCCTGGTGGTGAAATATTCCAGCCTGTGGCTTTCCCAAAAGAAATGGGGGAGGATCAAGAGTGCCATGGGTAAGGAAGAGAGGCTGCAGGGCCACGCAGCCTCTGTGCCAGGAGGCTGGGAACAGGGGCTGTGAGGCTTGCCAAGAGTGGCCAAGAGGAGGGGGATGGCACACGGCAGAAGCAAACCAAGACTGTCATGGTGCTCACACAGGATGACTGAGTTCACAACGATGGAATGGGAATCTGGAAGAGTGTCAGGTGCTGCCAGCCCATGCCTGTGGTGGGACATCCTCACCTTGCTGCTGCCATTAGCGCCGTCCCTCTCCTCTGAGGTCCACACTATTGCCTTCTGGTCTCCTCGAGAGCCTTGGGTGAGAGTGAGTTTGCTCTCCGAGCCGTGAAAGACAAACTGACCCGTTGACTCACCGACTGACCGACCAAGAGAAAAAGAAAGATCTCACCCTTGGTGGTTAATAAAATCCTGGTAATGCTGAAGTCCCCTTGGGCAGACTTTTACCACATTCCACTCCATACAAGACACATTTCAAATGCTCATTAATTTACAGAAATTGCATTTTATAGAAAATATGATACAATGAAATATAAAATGCACTAGGAGCATTTCAAAAATCTATAGAGACGATCTTGCAGCCCAGTTTACCCTCTGAAAGGTGCCCACTCATCACCGCAAGCTCTCCACCTCTCATTCTCTCTCTCATGTGCACACGCTCGCTCCCCCCGCCTCCCCCCCTTTAACTCTTAGCATTCAACTTGAGAATCAATAGAGATATCAAAAAAAGCGTGATTATCCCCTGGATAATCACCTTCCAATACTGTGCACATTCTTGGATTTAAAGGAAAATATATCTAAGCACTTTTACAAGTTTTAGCGAACCCACTGCAAAATCGTCTGCAGAATATAAAACACAGGTAATCCAAGATTTCATAGCACATTAATTAAGTGGCTCATAATCCATTAAATGTGGTTTATATTACACATCCATGCAGTCTAAATCATTTTACAAACATTAGACATAAACCCACTAGTCCAAATCAGTAAAGGAAAAATGTAATAAAAAAAGCTAATAACTATTTGTTATTGGTTAAACTGACCCTACATATAAACTAGGTAGTTTGCTACCATTTATAATACTGATGTTGAATTATGCCTGGATGCTGCGAAACCTCTTGCTTACTTGGCAATGCTTGAGCATATTAACCACAAGATACTTAACAGGCCCTCGTCGCACTTCTTCTCCAAAAAAAACACATTTACTACAGATAGCAGCGCCTACCCATCGAATAGAAAGGACACACGTTAGCTGAGTTACACCATGTTGTTGAGCTTTGGCTACTAATGCTCCAAGGCATTAATGTGGCATACTAGACTAACTCCGTACTTAGGGATGGGCAAAGTGTGGGTGACCTGTCCCCGTCCTCGGCACTGCCTGGGCACAAACCCTGCCTCAGCCCAGGGGAGCAGCAGCGGAGCGTCCTCAGGGATGGGGGACACCGCCACCGGCACCAGCAGCTCACCCCGCCGCTGCGTCCGTCGCTCGCGAGGTCGTGGGAGCCAGAACACGGCGATAGCAGAAAAACAAACAGATGGGCCTTTGGTCATGTCACCATTTACTTTGTAGGGTTTTAGGCAAGGGCTGTCGGAGATTTCTGTTGCAATAACCAAAGGCTTTATCAATGCTATAGTTCTATGCAGCTACATTGAGTGTGACCAGGGGCCAGCACAGCCCTCTGGTCAGTATTTTGCATCTGATAACACTGAATTATATACAACATGATGACTAGTTCACCACCTGCTGAGGCTTAAAGATGGCTGTTAAGATTTCGACTCAAAACATCTCCCCCCC